AGGAGGAGGATACTGAATGTTCCTAACACAAATAAATAATAAATGTTTGAGATGATGGGGGGAAAAATAGAGAGGAAAAGGCATCACTTAAAGCTCAGCCTGCACCCTAAGTTCTTTCAGGCTCACTGCCTGGCTGCTTTTCCCCTTGCGCAAGCAGTGAAGAGAATCCATGTCCGTTCTGGTGCTCAAGGACAGCCAGATAACGAAGGGCGCTGGGTCAAAGAGCTCCTGACCATGACATGCAAAACCTCTCCAGAACTTGTCTTGTGTGGTGTTAATGTTTATGTCTCCCACCCCGGCTTTGTTTGGAATCAAAACTCAAGGCTCTGGTCTTTCAACTGGCGTCTGAACATCAAGAAATCTCCTTCTCTGGGAACATTCCACAATAAGAAATTCTTTTTAGGCTCTGAGAGGTGAGGGGCTGTTCCAGCTGTAGGTGGAGGAAGAAGATAAAGCAAGCTCTCAACATCCCCTTTAGAGGATGCTTGTGAGGGTGAGACAGAGTGTGATGCCCACCCCACCCCACCTTACCCCCATCAAACCTATGCACTATTTTATTTTAATTATTATTTTTTGAGACAGAGTGTCACTCTGTCGCCCAGGCTGGAGTGCAGCAGCGCGATCTCTGCTCATTGCAACCTCTGCCTCCTGGGTTGAAGTGATTCTCCTGCCTCAGCCACCTGAGTAGCTGCAATTACAGGCACATGCCACTATGCCCAGCTAATTTTTGTATTTTTAGTAGAGACGGGGTTTCACCATGTTGACCAGGATGGTCTCGATCTCTTGAACTCGTGATCCACCCACCTCGGCCTCCCAAAGTGCTGGGATTACAGGCTTGAGCCACCGGGCCTGGCCAATTTTTTTATTTTTAATAGAAACAAGGTCTCACTTTGTTTGTTGCCCAGGCTGGTCTTAAACTCCTGGCTTCAAGCAGTCCTCTAACCTCAGCCTCCCAAAGTGCTGGGATTACTGCATGAACCACTGTGCCCAGTCCCAGGCACCTTTGATTAGAGAGAAGATAGAGGCCGGGCGTGGTGGCTCAAGCCTGTAATCCCAGCACTTTGGGAGGCCGAGGCGGGTGGATCACGAGGTCAAGAGATCGAGACCATCCTGGTCAACATGGTGAAACCCCGTCTCTACTAAAAATACTAAAAATTAGCTGGGCATGGTGGTGCGTGCCTGCAATCCCAGCTACTTAGGAGGCTGAGGCAGGAGAATTGCCTGAACCCAGGAGGCGGAGGTTGCGGTGAGCCGAGATTGCGCCATTGCACTCCAGCCTGGGTAACAAGAGCGAAACTCCGTCTCAAAAAAAAAAAAAAGAGAGAAGATAGAGCCCTCCAAAGCCGCCTGCTACTCTCCCCACTTCCCTTGCTGCCTCTCCACACTCCAGCTAGATAGCTCCTGGACCACACAAGATGATGGGAGAAGACAGCCGTTAAAGCTGGGGCTTTGGCATCTAGCAGAGCTCGACTTAAATTCCAGGTCTGGGCCTGAGAAGGTGACTCACGCCCATAATCCCAGCACTTTTGGAGGCCGAGGCGGGCAGATCACCTGAGATCAGGGGTTCAACGCCAGCCTGGCCAACATGGTGAAAGCTTGTTTCTACTAAAAAATCCAAAAAAATTAGCTGAGCATGGTGGCGGGCACCTGTAATCCCAGCTACTCAGGAGGCTGAGGCAGGAGAATTGCTTGAACCCAAGAGTGAGCCGAGATGATGCCACTGTGGTCTAGTCTGGGCAAGAAGAGCGAAACTCTGTCTCAAATTAAGTGGTGGGTCTTGCCTGTAATCCAAGCTCTTTGTGAGGCTGAGGCAGGAAAACTGTTTGAACCTGGGACGTCGAGACTACAGTGAACCGTGATCATGCCTCTGCACTCTAGCCTGGGCGACAGAGTGAGACCCTGTTTCAATTAATCAATTCCAGGTCTCCATGCCTCCTTCTGACCCTATGACCTTGGACAAGCCTCTGAGCCTGATTTCTCATCTGTAAAGTATGGATATAAAATATGATAGGCAAGAAGAAGCAGGGGGAGCTGGTAAGGCTATCTCCCCCAACTTCCCCACCATCCATCCCGCCTGCCTGGTCCTGGTCACATCCCTCATCCCCCGCTTCTTCCAAGAAGATCCTGATTCCATTGATCCTAAATCCCTCTCTCTGCAAGTAAGGTCTCTGAGATGTATAAAAAAAAGAACCGGTCCATATTTTTTCAGAACACTTTCCCAAGTTTGCTTCTGTGGCCCTTTAGCTCTGGCTGTTTGTTATTTTTCCATCACTTGCTTTCTGGAAGAAGAGGCTTGTGGTGTAGGGGAAAGGCCACAGACGGGGAATCCAGAGACCTGGTTCTAGCCTGGCTCCTTCTGTAACTTGCTGGGTGACTTGGCCAGGTCACATGACCTCTCTGGTGCGCTCTCTCTCTCTCTCCCTCTCTCTCTCTCTCTCTGTCTGTCTCTCTCTCTCAGCATCTGAAGGGGTGAACCAGACAGGCTCTCAGCGCCCTTCCAGCAGAGAAAACAGACGGACCCGCAGATTAGCCATGTCATGGCATTGGCCAGTCCTGGAGCTCAACGACAGCCACACGACTCCCTTTCATCTCCCAAATCAAAGGGCAGTGGCCACACCTCCCTCTGGCCCTGACCCCTTCGCTTGGACACAAGGACAGGTGAGGAGCCGGCTCATCAAAGTCCCAGGCTCTAGGGACCTCGCACCTCCCTCTTCCCCAACCGTCCCCCACAACAGTATCCAAGTCCACAGGAATGGAAACCTAGGGCCGAAAAAGAGGTAGGAATCCCACCTCTTCTATCCCTCTTACAGCAATTCAGGGACAAAATGCTGTCTGTCCGAGGGGAGCCCACCATTGCAGCACAGGGGCAAGAGGCTGGACACCAGGGAAGGCTTTTTATAAGGAGGGCTTCGAGGGGAAGCAAGTCAGGGGTTTGTGGCAAGCAGCCAGGTCAGACCCTTACATAACAGCTTACTTCTCTCAGACTCTTGACTGTTCCCTCCCGACTCCCTACCCTTCTTTTTCAGCCAGGGCTGTGGATGAAATATGGGGAGGGAGGAGCTGTAGCCTCTTCTGCCTAGGGTGGGTCACTTATCCTCGCACCCGAAGTCCAGGTTTCCACCTCACCCTCTATATCCTCAGCCTTTTGAGCTTCATATTGTTGGGTCTAGAACAGGGTGAGGTGGGGATAGCCTGCCATCAGCTCTGCATACAGAAAGTCAGATAACAGGGCCTGGCACAGTGGCTCATGCCTGTAACCCCAGCACTTTGGGAGGCCAAGGCGGGCGGATCACCTGAGGTCAGGAGTTTGAGACCAGCCTGGCCAACATGGTGAAACCCTGTCTCTACTAAAAATACAAAAATTAGCTAGGCATGGTGGCGGGTGCCTGTCATTCCAGCTACTTGGGAGGCTGAGGCAGGAAAATCACTTGAACCCTGGAGGTGGAGGTTGCAGTGAATCAAGATCATGCCATTGCACTCCAGTCTGGGAAGCAGAGTGAGACTTCGTCTCAAAAAAAAAAAAAAAAAAAAAGAAAGAAAGAAAGAAACAAGAAAGACAGAAAGAAAGAAAAGAAAGGGTAAGAACAGCTTGCAATTTTTAATTGGAGACTTTCATACTCTAGGACTTGTTCGAATGTATCTCCTTCAAACTGAGGCATCCTTTTCCCCCTTGCTCAGATGGGGAAAACTGAGGCTTGGAGATACCTGCCCAAGTACTTGTGATAAACTCTGGGAGATCTGGTGCTCTTGGTCCCAGCTGCCTAGGGCCTGAATTACAAGGCAGGGTACCCAACTTTGAAGGTGAGGCTCTATTCCCATGGGGCTGAGAGTGGGGGTGGGAAGTTAACTCTCTCTCTCTCTCTCTGTTGAAACTTGTCAGCAGGTAGGTGACTTGTGGGGTAAAAAGCTTAGGATGCCTGAGTTCTAGTTGTAGCTCTGCCACTCACATGATGGGTGATCATGAACAATTCACAATCCCTCTGAGACTCAGCTTCCCCCTCTGTGAAATGGGCTAATGAACCTGCCATGCTTCCTCCCAGGTCTGGGGGCTGCTGCTCCATGATTAGCAGGTACAGGGTGCCTCATTTTCTTTCTTTTTCTTTTTTCTTTTTCTTTTTTTTTTTTTTTGAAATGGAGTCTCACTCTGTCGTTGCCCAGGCTGGAGTGCAGTGGTGCGATCTCCGCTCACTGTAACCTCCACTTCCCGGGTTCAAGTGATTCTCCTGCCTCAGCCTCCCAAGTAGCTGGGATTACAGTTGCCCGCCACCACGCCTGGCTAATTCTTGTGTTTTTAGTACAGATGGGGTTTCACCATGTTGGCCAGGCTGGTCTCCAATTCCTGACCTCAGGTGATCCACCCGCCTCAGCCTCCCAAAATGCTGGGATTACAGGCGTGAGCCACTGTGACTGGCCGGTTGCCTCATTTCTCTTTGTCTCTGAAAGGATCAGCTTTGAGGGACTGGGAAAGAAATTCCTGATCCTACCTGGTCTTGGCTGCCTACATATGTGGGCGACTTATACCTAACACCTGCCATTATGGCCTCTGGCATCCCCACTCCTACCTTCCCTGCTCAGCAGGATTCTCTTTCCCATGCTCAGGGTGGAGCCCCTAGGAAAGGCAGTCTCTGGGAAAGCCCAGCAAAGCCCAATTAGGCCAACTGGGACATGGTTAAAGCTGGGGCTCTAGATCTGGCTTCGAATCCTAACTCCCCCACTTGTGACCGTGTGACTCTGAATCAGCCACTTCATCAAGCCTCAGTTTCCCCACCTTCGTCTATCTCATAGACTAAGTGAGATAATGCGTATGTACCAGCAGGGTACCCTGGATCACAGCAGGCACTAGTGAAAGGGTGCGATTTTAAACCCAGAGCCCCTCCACCTCAGAGCCAGAGGGCTGCCCAGCTAGATGCGGGCACCCAAATGCCCCCTCCCAAGACACCGGAGGGTCTTTGCAAAGCTTGAGGGTCTTCGCTTCCCGCGCGCCCTCACCCCGCACTCACTTGGGTAGCGAAAGTAAAATTCATTGTCCGCATTACTGTGGTTGCCCCGGTGCCAGAGGGAAGCGTCGGTTTCGTGGTTGTAGCGGACGAAGACAGCAAAGAGGACGGCGGTGGCGCCCTGGAGGAAGAGGCACAGCAGGGGCAGCTGCAGTCGCCGGCTCGCGGAGCGGCTGGGAGACCCCGCCATGGCTGTGGGCTGCGATCTCGGCTGGCGCTCGCAGGCAGACGATCCCCCGCGGCGGGGCAGGTTTCGCGGAGCCCCGCCCACGGACGCCCCGCCCACGGACGCCCCGCTCTCACCTGCTGCCCGCCCAGGGCCCCGGGGGACAGGATCGGGGCGTCCGGGGTCCTGGACCCTTGGCCCGAGGTGGGGCCAGGACTTGGAGGAAGGGAGTCGCACAATCCTGGCGCTGACCCTAGCATTGTTCCTGTGCCAGGTCCTTGGAAGTGACCCTGGAAACGCGCCGTGTGTTCTGCCCTGGTAGGGCACAGCTGTGAGCCCTGGGTGTGAGAGAACCTGCATCCTCATACATGATGTTACTTTAGAGTGTCTCCCAAGGAATAAGTGGCTCTTAAAGACCCTGGTCTGGGCTGGCTGTGGTGGCTCACGCCTGTAATCCCAGCACTTTGGGAGGCCGGGGCGGTCGGATCACCTGAGGTCAGGGGTTTGAGACCAGCCTGACCAACATGGATAAACCCCGTCTCTACTAAAAAAAATACAAAATTAGCTGGGCGTGGTGGCACATGCCTATAATCCCAGCTACTCTGGAGGCTGAGGCAGGAGAATCACTTGAACCCGGGAGGCGGATGTTTCAGTGAGGCGAGATGTGCTATTGTACTCCAGCCTAGGCGACAAGAGCAAAACTCCTTCTCAAAAAAAAAAAAAAAAAAAAGCCGGGTGTGGTGGTGTGCGCCTGTAATCTCAGCCACTTGGGAGGCTGAGGCAGGAGAATCGCTTGAACCCAGAAGATGGAGGTTGCAGTGAGCTGACACAGTGCCACTGTACTCCAGACTGGGCAACAGAGCAAGACTTCATCTAAAAAAAAAAAAAAAAAAAGACACTGGTCTGGCCCCTCTAAGGTTAACACAAGAGAGGGTTGGGGGTTATACAATCTTTTTTTTTTTCTTTTTTTTGTGAGATGGAGTTTCGCTCTTGTTACCCAGGCTGGAGTGCAATGGCGCGATCTCAGCTCACCGCAACCTCCGCCTCCCAGGTTCAGGCAATTCTCCTGGCTCAGCCTCCTGAGTAGCTGGGATTACAGGCATGCATCACCATGCCCAGCTAATTTTTTGTATTTTTAGTAGAGATGGGGTTTCACCATGTTGACCAGGATGGTCTCGATCTCCTGACCTCGTGATCCACCCGCCTCGGCCTCCCAAAGTGCTGGGATTACAGGCATGAGCCATCGCGCCTGGCCTCAATCTTTCTTTTCCTTACTGAAAAGCAGAGATGGAGAACAGAGATAAACAGTGCTCTCCAGGCACTGAAGATTAACCAGGCTGGGGACGTCTGGGCCTGGAGTCCCTTAGATCGTTCCAAGCCTCCTCCCCTTCTAACCCCGAATCTATACCACACCACAGAGAAGCAGGCTGGGCAGGGGCCACACTGACAACCAGGTTCCCTGCATGCCCAGTGTGGATGTGAGAGGGCCTGGGCTGCCTCTGCAGCTGGAGCGGAGGGAGACTGGATGCAGGGAGGGCTTCTCAATTCCAAGTCCAGAGCTCCTTGTTACAAAAGCAAGACTGGCATCCACTGGGGAACCTGGTAGACAGACATGGAGGAGACAGACATTTATTGAACCCTTACTGTGAGGCAGACTTTGGAGATGAACCAGATAGCCCCTCCCTCCAGGAACCACTGTCTGGTGTGGAGACAGACGCTTAGGAGGAAATTTGATTACCAGTGGGATATGCAAGCAATCCAGTCAAGAACAGAAACTAGAGGGGTCCAGGAGGAGGCGCTGCAGAGGCCCCAGGGGTAGGGGTAAGGGAGGGGACTGAGAAGGAGAATTGCTTCCTGAGAAGGTAATGAATGCGTGAAGGTGATCTGGAAGGACAGCCTGTGAATTGTGAAGAAAGAAGAGACATTACGAGAAGCGGGACTGGCCGAGCCCAGAGACTCATACCTGTAATCTCAGCACTTTGGGAGGCCAGGGTGGGCGGATCACCTGAGGTCAGGAGTTCAGACCAGCCTGACCCACATGGAGAAACTCCATCTCTTCTAAAAGTAAAAAAAAAAAAAAAAAAAAAAAAAAAAAAAAAATTAGCTGGGCATGGTGGCACATGCCTGTAATCCCAGCTACTCGGAAGGCTGAGGCAGGAGAATCGCTTGGACCTGGGAGGCGGAGATTGTGCTGAACCAAGATCACGCCATTGCACTCCAGCCTGGGCAACAGGAGCAAAACTCTGTCCCCACCTCCAACACAAAGAAGTAGGGCCAACACAGACAGGGCCTGGCAGCGTAAGCATCCAGAGTGTTCAGGAACTGAGGCTGCTGGAGGGTGGGGGTGGTGTCAGGAAGCCCTTGAAGGCCAGGCTAAGGCACAGGGCCTCTACTCAGAGTGTGCTGGGCCACTGAAGGGCTCTAAACAGGTGTGGAACCCCGGCACTATTGGTCCTGACACCTGACTGGCTGCTGGGAGAGGAGGCCCTCTGTCTACGCTGCCGCCCATCCCAGGCTCGCCTGTATGGGGGAGCCGTTGTGTGGAAGGAGCTCGAGGGTGTGTGCGATGGTGTCCCAAACCCCAGCCTGAAGGAAAAGCTGCCACTCCCATGAGTATGGCCTCGGTCCCCAGGGGCCAGCCACTCCCCGGGACAGACGCAGGGTAGGGCTCCTTCTCAGGAATGGGCAGGGATGGGGTCAACAGTAGAGTCCCTAACCTCCTCCTTTTCTTTCCTGCTGCCCCTTCCCCAGCTCACCTCTCCCTACCGCCCCTCAAAGGCTGCAGCCTCTGGTGCAGCGTGGACTCTAGAGGACAGTTGGGTTCTAGGTGTCCAGTTTCCCCCACTCAGGTGCCAGCCAGGGGTCAGACTCTGGGTGGCAGACTCTGGTAGCACTGCTCCTGGCTGGCCAGGCAGGCTTTCTGGCCCTCAGTGGCCTCTGTCCCAGAAAGACTCTCTGTCCTTACTGGCTCAGCAGGAAGCTTGTTTTCTAGCCCTTCCTGGGGCAAGGCAGGATATCAGGTCAATATCCTTTGGATAATGATTCAGTAACTGGAGGCTCCACCCAGGACCAGCCTCCTGCCCCAAGATTCTGCCTGAGTCCTGTCTGGGGGTCGGGGGTTGCTCAGGGCTGCCCAAGCAGGGATTAGTCAGGCCTGGGATGGGAAGAGCCTTCAAAAGCTGCAGAACCAGGGAAAACCAGGAGTAGGCTAGGCCTTCCCGGCGTCTGCTGTGAACTGCCTCCCTGATTCCAGCCTCCTCCAGCTCTTTGTCACCTGCTGTTGCCCTTAGTCTCTTAATTCCTCTAGGTCTCTGATTCTCTCTCCTCTATTGCTATGGAGAGAGAATGGAGAGGCTTAGTCCATGGTTTCCTTTTGGACTGTGAAGTGATGTCAAGGTCCTTGGTCCTCTCACTGCCTCCTCTGGCCCTGGTAGCTCTGATGGAATAGTGAGGGGCTTCATCTCTCACTCCTCCTTCCACTCCAGGCCTCCTCTGAGAAGCCCCTGACTCTGCCATCAGCTCTCAATCTGCCTGGTCTGAGATCTTTCCCTTCTTTGACCTTCCATCTCCAGTTTCCAGCTGGGACCAGCTGAGCGCCAGAAGGGTGGCCAAGGGGAACCGGTGTCTGCTGCCTGCACCGGCCCAGCTTGACCAGTTTGTCCCTGGGGACCAAGTATCTGCGGTTACTGAGTAACCCGGGGCTGCTCAGAGCTAACCTCTACCAGCGTCAACTCCCAACCTCCTGCTCCCTCGGCTCAGGAATCCCCAAAGCCACTTGGCTCCTTTAGTTCCATGAAGCCACCCCCGGTGTTTATGGTGGAAAAGAGAGAGAAATAGCAAGGCAATAGGAAAGACTCCTGTTCATTCATTCATCCATTCATCCAACCATCACATCTTTACTATATGACGCTGGGCGAGTAATTGAGCCCTCTTTAAGTCTCATTTTTCTTATCTGTAGGAGTAATAATAGTTCCTTTGTGGAAGTATAAGAATTCCAAATAATTGATATAGATCACTGGCATTGTTGTAAGCATTCAACAGATGTGCTAATTATTATTGTTCTGGTTGGCTGAGCAGGAAGGGCAAATGGGTGGCTGGCTACAATACACTACGGGGTGCATGGTGTCTCTGAGGATAGGAACAGATGGAGGAGGCAGGCAGAGTCTTGATGCAGTCTCCTGTCATTGACTGGAGGAAGGTGGCATCAGGGGCTGGAGTCTAGGACAGGCACATTCAGGAAGGACCATCAGACCAGCAGCAATTTTTTTTTTTTTTTTTTTTTTTGAGGCTGGGTGTCACTCTGTCACCCAGACTGGAGTGCAGTGGTATGATCACAGCTTGGCTTACTGCAGCCTCAACCTCCTAGGCTCAAGTGATCTTCTCACTTTCAGCCTCCCAAGTGAGTAGCTGGGACTACAGGCACGTGCCACCCTGCTGGGCTAATTTTTGTATTTTTTTGTAGAGATAGGGTTTTTCCATGTTGCCCAAGCTGGTCTCAAACTCACAAGCTCAAACGATCCTCCCGTCCTGGCCTCCTCAAGTGCTGCAATTATGTGCCCAGTCCATAACAACTCTTGAACAGAGATTTGGAAGAAGGTACAGCCTTCCTTCATTCAACAAATGTGTCGAGTGAGCTCCTACTGTTTGCCAGGCACTGTGCTAGGCTCTGGGCATCCAATGGAACAAGATATAACCCCTGCTATACATCATCTCCACCCACGGCCTGGCACAGCAGGGTGGGAGGAGACGGGATGGAGATGATGAGATGGGTCCTCAAGGTCTGGCAGGAGCTGTTGGCTCTGAGCAGCTTGCGGCTAGAACAGAAGCAATGGAAAATGGAGTGCAATGGCGTGATCTCGGCTCACCGCAACCTCTGCCTCCTGGGCTCAGGCAATTCTCCTGCCTCAGCCTCCTGAGTAGCTGGGATTACAGGCACGCGCCACCATGCCCAGCTAATGTTTTGTATTTTTAGTAGAGACGGGGTTTCACCATGTTGACCAGGATGGTCTCGATCTCTTGACCTCATGATCCACCCACTTCGGCCTCCCAAAGTGCTGGGATTATAGGCTTGAGCCACTGCGCCCG